GCCATGGCATCACAGCTCACAACAACCTCCAACTCCTGGGCTCAAGCGAATCTCCTGCCTCCACCTCCCAAGCAGCTGGGATTATAGGCACCCACCACAACGCCCGGCTATTTTTTTGTTGCAGCCGTCATTGTTGTTTGGCGGGCCCAGGCTGGATTCGAACCCACCAGCTCAGGTGTATGTGGCTGGCGCCTTAGCCACTTGAGCCACAGGCGCTGAGCCAAGCCTGGCTATTTTTAGAGATAATGTCTCACTCTGGCTGAGGTTGGTCTGGAATCTATGAGCTCAGACAATCTACCCACCTCAGCCTCCCAGAGTGCTAGGATTACAGGCATGAGCCACAGCACCTGGCCTCAGATTGTGACTTCATCAAAGTGAAGGGTAGTGTTTCTGATTATTCTGCACCTATTCTAACACTCTGCTTGGTGTTTTGCATTCAGTAAGTATTCAACAAATAGTACTGACATTTACTTCCAAGGGATGAACTCAATTCTTTTTTTTATTAAAAAAAGACAGCTAGAGTTAAAAAGAAAGGACAGATTCCTGCTCCAGCCACTGTCTTTGTTGAATGAATGAATGAAGAAATAAATGCAACTTTACTTTTACAAGGAGACTTGTAGTTGGTGGGTCCTCAGATGAAAGAAGGAGCCAAAGACACTGTACTTAACCTTTTAAAGGAATCTCTTTTAATTAAGACTGTTTCACATAGGAAAAATAATAAAATAATCCAGTTCCAGGATATTTAATTAAGCCAATATATGGCCAGTGCCCAAGTCAGCAAATCATCAATTCATTAAATAAATCCTTCTTCATTATACCTAAAATCTTGGGATATAGCTCGGACTTAATTCAAATGTTTCCAAAGTAATTCACAAACACATTATTTCAATATTTCTTCCACATTTAGGAAGAAATAGCTTTGTGTATCAAAAACCATCATTATGCAATATTCTCTTTTCCTTACCCTGCAGTAGGGCTCAACGACTTGTAACACATATGTCCTGGGCAGCATCCAGTAAGCTGGAAGCCTCCACGTTCCACTACCAAGAAGGACTGCAGGAAGCACAGCTGTTCTTAGGTATTGCCTTTTTATTTTTTTTTTCCCTTTGCTTGCCTCTTCAACTTTTATTAGGAAGATCAAGGTTAATGTGGCTAAGGAGTTTTTGTATGGACCAAATCTCTTCTAAATTCTCCTCTCAGTCATACCATGTTCTGACTAAATTCAAATGGTAAAGAAATGTCTTTGCTACCTTTCTCCCTCTCTTTCCATTTCATCTTTTTTAATTATTTCTCCCCACCTCCCTTCCTTAAACAGAACATACACGCTCAAACATATCCTGAAGCATTCTGTGAGAAAGGAACAAATGGTGTTTGGACTTAGCACAGGATAGCAGTTAGAGAACCAAAACTCAAGGGTAGGGAAGAACTAGTTAGATTCAGCACTGGGAAAATGGGGAGTGGAGGTGGAGGTTAAGGAAGAGAATCCAAGATCTACAAAGTCATTCTGTTTTGGCTTTCATAGTATCATATTTTGCTGTGTATAATGCATACTTTTTGCCCAAATTTTTGAGGGAAAAATAAGGATGTATATTATATATGGGTAGTATAACTCAGAAGCACAGGAGCTGAGAGGGCCTCGTGGGGCCACTGCACCCTTCTGCCTAGGCCTGCCAGGTACAAAAGGTTCTAGTCCATAAAGATCCAGGATGCAGTGAGAGTAAGGGGGAGCAGCCTCTGCCAAGTGCTGCAATCAAGGGAGGGGGCAGTGGCTGGGTTGGCAAGGCAGGCAGCGACCATGTAGGGTGAAGGCCAATACCAGCCCCACAGAGGGGACTGGAAGCCCCATACAGGCTGCAAGAACCTACCCAGCTGCCTGAGGGTTGAGTGACCTCTGAAACTACCACCCTACTGCCCACACACATGGCTGTTTTGGATGCAGCCCGTGATGCTGCAGGAAAGGAAGGGCTCCCAGGAGAGAGGAAAAGGAGAGACTTTAAAGATCAGGCAACTAAAGGAGGGTGGTGTGATCTGCATGCATGTATCACAGGAGCATCAACCCTCCCCAGATGTGTCTCTCCTGGGCAAAAGCCGGCCACTTTCTCAAGGGGCATACTCTTGAAAGTTTGGGCCAAAAACTTGGGTACACATTACACATGGCAAATTACCCTTTCTACTCAGGAATGACAAAACTTCAATAGGATCAAATGTGTAACTCTGTATATACAGGTATACACGTACTGTATACTATAGATATAGTACTTTCTTTTTTATGCTGTAGTACAGTGGTTCTCAATCTGTGGGTCATGACCCACAGGAACTATATTAAAGGGCCGCGGCATTAGGAAGGTTGAGAACCACTGCTCTAGTGTATCTGTGAATTAGGAACAGGAGGAGCTGTGTTCATTCAGGTATTAGAAAAGTCACTATAGTAGAGGGCTCATATATGCATGGAAACACCTGCTGGAATATGCACTCATACATGTACAGCCTGAGCACATGAAGGCCTTAATGACCCATGAGGCAACACTCTCAATGGGATCAAGAGCCAGTGGATAAATGCTTCCCATCCAAGATACATTTTGTACCCCTTCTAAGATCTCAGCAGCTTTCTGTCCAACTGCCCACACTGGTGACCAACTCAATAACATACCCTTACAGTAGTCTTTCCTCTTTCCCTGTTTCATTTTCCCTAGCTCTCTACTACTGGTTCCTGAGACCCTAAGCTAAAACAATACAGAATGGTCACAAAGCAGTGAGAATAAGCCTTTCTCTACATATAGGGCCCACCCCTTGTCCCAATACAAAAATCTAATACAGCATGTAGTGGTAGTATTGTTTTCTGTACACATGGGGGAAGAAGAACAACTACAGAAAAACCTCTCTTGTTTCTTTGCCTCATGGAACTCTTGTAAGGACCCAACACTGAGTCTTCAAATGGGGTATAACATGCCTGAAATGATGGGAAATATTAAGGGGTGGCACCTGTGGCTCAAAGGAGTAGGACGCCAGCCCCATATGCCGGAGGTGGCGGGTTCAAGCTCAGTCCCAGCCAAAAACTGCAAAACAAACAAACAAACAAAAATCTTCTCTTTGGCTCGGCACCTGTGGCTCAAGTGGCTAAGGCGCCAGCCACATACACCTAAGGTGGTGGGTTTGAATCCAGCCCTGGCCTGCCAAACAACAATGATGACTGCAACCAAAAAATAGTCAGGCATTGTGGTAGGTGCCGGTGGTTCCAGCTACTTGGGAGGCAGAGGCAGGAGACTCGCTTGAGCCCAGGAGTTGGAGGTTGCTGTGAGCTGTGATGCCACAGCACTCTACCCAGGGGAATAGCTTGAGGCTCTGTCTCAAAAAAAAAAAAAAAAAAAGAAAGAAAGAAAAAGAGATATTAAGATATACCACCCAAGGTGGCACCTGTGGTTCAGTGGGTAGGGTGCTGGCCCCATATACCAAGGGTGGTGGGTTCAAACCCAACCGCAGCCAAACTACAACAAAAAAATAGCCGGGCATTGTGGTGGGCCCCTGTAGTCTCAGCTACTTGGGAGGCTGAGGCAAGAGAATCGCCTGAGCCCAGGAGTTGGAGGTTGCTGTGAGGTGTGTGATACCACAGCATTCTACTGAGGGCCATAAAGTGAGACTCTGTCTCTACCAAAAAAAAAAATAATAATAAAAGATATACCACCCAAAATATACATCTTCTGTATCCATCCCAACCCCTAAGAGTAGGATAATAATAGGAATAAAGACTCTTTTAAAGTCTGTATACTGCTAAATGGTTTAGGAATAGAAACAGGCTGCTCATCTTCATCCTCTAGCTCAGGAAGGCAAATGCAAAAGATTTACTCACACATCACTGAATTCCTCCAGAGACCGTGCAGGTGTGAAAACATCCAAAAGACCAATCACCTATAAGAAAACATAAAAATCAAACTGTACCCATCAGGTCTTAATCATTTTAATAGGAACTAAATACAAATCCAGCTACCTAGTTCAATAACATTATGATATCAAATACTTTAATAATTATAATTGATTTTCTACCAAATTATGCTTTTTTTTGTTAACATTAATTCTCATAATAACCTACTTGAGCATTAAAATTCTTCATCTCTTTAGAACTAGGTCATATAAAGCCAATAGTTTACCAGAAGCCAAAAAAATTTAAGTGTTCCAGTGCCTTATGTGTATATACTAATGGCCTAATGAATTAAAAAACAGGAAAAAAAAAAAGCCACACTTCTATAATTATCATAGTATTTTGCTTCTTAAAATGTATTTCACAAAAAATTTCCATATTATTGTACAGCCTTCAAACTGACATTTTTAAAGCCCCAAATATTCTCACAGTATATTCTTTATATTATTCTCTTAAAAGTTATAACATTAAGATAATGTTAGTCTTAGTTATGAGCAATTATTTAAATCTGGCTATTTTTTAAAGACATTTTTTAGAGACAGATCTTGCTCCTGCTCAGGCTGGTCTCGAACTCCTGAGCTCAGACAATCCACCTGCCTGCCAAACAACAATCACAACTATAACCAAAAAATAGCCGGCACTGTGGCGGGCACCTGTAGTCCCAGCTACTAGGGATGCTGTAGCAAGAGAATCACTTATGCCCAAGGGTTTGAGGTTGAGACACCACAGCACTCAATCAAGGGTGAGCTGCGACACCACAGCACTCTATCAAGGGTGACATAGTGAGACTCTGTCTCAAAAAATAAATAAATAAATAAAACTTCCCAGCATTAAAACAGGTCTAGGGAATATGTCAGGAATATTCCATATTCTATTCATTTTCATTTCTTAGGAAACTTCCTTTTAATTCAAGTCATACTACTTCTGCCATTATATGATTTCAGTCACCTAAAAGTAATCCAGGAATCAAATTTTTAGAAAAGACATAAGAAAATAAGCAGCAAAAATCTTCAATGATTACCCTACAATGATCCAAAAGATGACAAAAGTAACACATTTTTATTGGCACACACCAAAAAATCCACTTTAACTCAGTAATCAATTATAGGCAATACTTAATATCTATTTTTTTTTTTATTTTGAGACCAAGTCTCACTATGCCACCCTCCGTAGAGAGCCATGGCATCACAGTTCACAACAACCTTCAACTCTTGGACTTAAGCTATTCTCTTGCCTCAGCCTCCCAAGTAGCTGGGACTACAGGTGCTCGGCTACTTTTTTGTTGCAGTTGCTATTGTTGTTTAGCTGGCCCAGGCTGGGTTCAAACCCTCCTGCCTTGGTACATGTGGCTGGCGCCATAACCACTGTGCCACGGGCACCAAGCTAATACTTTTTGTCTTTAACGCAAGCACCCCAGAACAACCTATTGGTCTACCATGGTGAAGTTAAATCTAAGACTCTCAAATAAAATTTATGAAACAATTCTTTAGTCATTTTTAAATTTCAAAATGTACAGATCTCCAGACATGTAAGTGGGCAATCTTTGTAGTGTCTACTCACACAGTGAAAGGAGGCAGCTGGCAGGCTCCCTTTAATCTTTCCTTAGAGCAGGTTTTAATAAGATGAAGGTCACTAGTTCAATCAGGAAAGGATCAGCTAACTTTACCCATAGTGTAACTCTCACAGATCCAGAGGACATACCCTAGTTTTAGTCACCCATCTAATAACATGCATTATCACTAACAGAAGAAACAATTCAAGATGAACTACTAATTATGAATCAGAAGCATTTTTGTGTAAAAGATTACATGTATGCTCTGACACTTAAAAATTCTATTTGTTACCAACAGTTATAAATTTTCAAGAGTTTTAACCTACTATTGCTGCTACCTTTGGAGCCCTGATAGTTAGCTAAAAACTGGATGGTTACCCCAATCATTTTTTAAAAAATAAGAGGAAGATGATGATGAAATAGAAGAATTTCTCTGAAAATCATCAATTAAACTTACTGAAAGTCTGAGTTCTTTACTGGGTAAACTATTTTTACATTATAAACACCCAACAAATGTTCATAGAATAGGCTGAAATGCAAAGATTTGTCTATGTTGAGTCAAATCTTTGTCTCCTTCTCATTCCCTTTTCAAAGGTACCAACAGAGACATTCAGCCATGTGCCTTCTTTTGTTCAAACAACAAATATTTAGGTGACCTTCTACTGTTAGAACCAAAACTTTTTCTTTTTTGGAGACAGCGTCTCACTATGTCGCCCTCAGTAGAGTGCTGGGACGTCACAGCTCACAGCAACCTCCAACTCTTTGGCTTAAGCAATTCTCTTGCCTTACCCTCCTAAGTAGCTGGGACTACAGGTGTCTGCCACAACACCTGGCTATCTCGCTATTTTTTTGTTGCAGTTGTTTTAGCTGGCCTGGGCTGGGTTCGAACCCTCCACCTTCAGTGTATGTGGCTGGCTCCGTTACCACCGTGCTATATGGACGCTGAGCCTTTTTTTTTTTTTTTTTTTTTTTTTGAGACAAAGTTTCACCTTGTGACCTTGTGTAGAATGCCATGGCATCACAGCTCACAGCAACCTCAAACTCTTGGGTTCAAGTGATCTTGCCTCAGCTGCCCAAGAAGCTGAAACTGCAAGTGCCTGCCACAACGCTTGGCTATTTTTTAGAGAGGTCGGGGTCTCGCTGTTGCTCAGGCTAGTCTCAAACTCAGTGAGCTCAAGCAATCTACCTGCCTCAGCCTCCCAAAGTGCTAGGAATACAGGCGTTAGCCACTGTGCCTGGCCCCCAAAATATCTTACTATAAGAATAGACTACTAGTACTAAGTCTACTACTAGTTTAAGAGGGCTATTTAAAAGATACTTTATGTAAATTAAAATCCTGTTTTTTGCTGAGTGAGGTGGTTCACGCCTGTAATCCTAGCATTCTGGGCAGCCGAGGGAGGTGGAATGCCTGAGCTTACAGGTTTGAGACTAGCCTGAGCAAGAGTAAGACCCCATCTCTAAAATTAGCCAAGTGTTGTGTTGGCACCTGTAGTCCCAGCTACTTGGGAGGCTGAAGCAAGAGAATCACTGGAGACCAGTAGTTTGAGGTTGCTGTGAGCTATGTTGTCACAGTACTCTACAGAGCGTGACAAAGTGAGACTTTATCTCAAAAAAAAAAAATCCTATTTTTTCTAATACCATTATCCTTCTTTTCTTTTTTGTTTTTTTTGTTGTTTTTGGCTGAGGCTGTGTTTGAACTCGACACCTCTGGCATATGGGGCTGGCACCCTACTCCTTTGAGCCATAGGCATTGCCCCATTATCCTTCTCTTAAAGAGTCCTGTAGCCTTTCCTAAATTGAAACAACTGTATTCATCATTCTGCATCCTCCTCAGTTCTACAACCACAGAATGGTCCAAATGTAACCAGCCCTGTATCATACTCTGTGTAAGATATCTCACAGTATTTCATTGTAGGAACTTAAAGCACAAAAAAAATAAACATGTTATTTACTAAAGAAAAGCTACAGCATGGATTCAGATGACTCAAAATAATTTTGCCAAAAATACTTGCTCAAATTATTTATGAAAAAAAAAAAAGCATAGCACTAGTAATCTCCTAAATCAGATGTTCTTATATTAGTATAAGCTACACAGGTAGGATCCTAGGGCCTCTCAGAGGTGCTTTGGGGTTCCATAAATGTTTGGCTTACATTCCACTTTCAAAATATTCTTTATACTTGAAAAGCTATGACAATGACTGTCACATCCACTAACGTGTAATGAAAAACAGCATACATACTCAGATATGTTAATAATCAAATGCAAACACAACAGTTACCGTGTTTCCCTGAAAAGAAGACACTGTCTTTTATTTATTTTTTCTCAAGAAGACACACTAGGGGATGTCTTATTTTCAGGGGATGTCTTCCTCTCTGTGCTGAAATGCATGGTGTGGCTATGCAGATACGCTGCATAGCCAAGCCCATCACTAGGTCTTATTATCAGGGTAAGGCTTATATTTAACAAATGCATAGAAATCCTGCTAGGGCTTATTTTTTGGGTAGGTCTTATTTTGGGGGAAATATGGTAACTGCCAGGCCACCTTGACTTCATGCCAACCTAGGAATGATGTTTCTCCTGCCAGCTCTTTCCACATATCTTAACTTCTTATAAACACATCACTGATTAGGAAGGCTGCAGTTCTGCACCAAATTTTTATGAAACTCAATTTGGCCAGCCAAAGTGGTTCATGGCTGTAATTCCAGCTACTCAGGAGGCTGAGGTGGGAGAACTGCTTGAGCCCAGGAGTTTGATCTAGTGAGATGCTGTCTCACTAACACCCCAGTACAAGAATGGACCAAAGTTTGATGCACTCCAATTTCCATTTACAGTAATTAAAACATATATTCCCCAGTTTATTCAAAAACAAAATTTATTCTTCCTTCAATGAATAACTTACATTTTCATGTTTCATATGTTTAAGTAACCGCAGTTCTCTGTAGGTTCTTTTGGCATGAATGATGGACTGAAATGGTCTTGATAGCTTCTTTACTGCCACACGTAACCCAGTTTTTGTGTCAAAAGCAGCACTAAGGAGAAAAAAAGAAAAAGAAGCCAAAAATTCATCATTAAAAGGGCTCCAAATACCATTTCTAAGTATTCAGAAGGGTCATTTCATTTCCAAATTAAATATGTCTGTAACAAAATACAAAAAAGATATAATACAAAAATATATTTATAATATATTAATATTATATATATAAATATATATATAATTATAAATATATATATATTTATAATCTTACTATCCAAGTAAAGCCTCTGTTACTACTTTTGATGTTTCCTTCTACACTTTTCTATGCAGGCCAGACAGTTAATACTTGAGACTTTGCAAGCCGTAAGCTCTTGAAGCAGGAAAGCAACTAGATAAGTTTAAAAACAGGTATGCTGTGTTCTGATAAAATTTACAAACACAGACGCCTGATCTAAATAAGCTAATAGATCGATAAACATGGAGTTGGAGTCCACCCTGTCTTCCCAGCTTAGGCCTCACCATCACCTCACAACCATATGCTGCTTGAACAGAGCAGAGGCGTTGGAAGAAATCACTGTGTATTTTAGGCAATAAGTGCCAATGGCACGAGTATTTCTTGAGCACCTACAAAGTATTAATATTTGGCACTTTCTAGACATTGAGCTGCAGCACGAAAAAAGTCAATTAAAACCCTGTCTTTGGGGAATGAGAGGAGAAGGGAAAAACAGAATAAAATTATTTCAAATACTGACAAATACTATGACTAAATGAAACAGAGTAATGGGATGAAGAGTGACAGAAAGTAGAACTATGCTAGTTTAGCTCAGATGTCTGAGGAAGTACATTTGAGTAGAGAACTGAATGATGAAAGTCTCAACTATGTAAAGACACAGGGGAAAAAGAGCTTCAGGCAGAAGAAATAATAATGGTAATGTTAACATTTATTGAGTCTTTGCCACATAAGAGGAACTGTTCTAAACCTTTAATTTTTCTTAAAGGTTTAGATCTCTTTTGATCCCTATAAGGTAAGTACTATTATCATTCTCCCATTTACACACAAAGAAATTGAAGCACAGAGAGATTCATTAATTTGCCAATGGTCACAAAACTAAATGTGGTAAAACAGAGTCTGGATCCAGAGTTTATGCTATTAACCACTTGGCTCTAGTATCTCTCAGAACATCAACTGCCAACAGATGAGAAAAGAAGAATTAAGGGCAGTGCCTGTGGCTCAAAGGAGTAGGACTCCGGGACCATATACTAGAGGTGGTGGGTTCAAACCTGGCCCTGGCCAAAACTGAAAAAAAAAAAAAAAAAAAAAAGAAGAAGGAGAGTTATAGCATGCAAGGGTGAGAGAAAGACAAAGTTGGCCTGTGTAAGCAGGGCAAAGGGAGCACGTGGAGAGGAGAACAGGATATCAGAGATGGAGGCAGAGGCTAGATCATGTGAACATCTACAGCAAAAAATCTGATGTGTGCTTTAATTACTTTTAGAAATTTTCTGAGACAAATTCCATCATGCCTCATCCTCCTATTTATCTCACTCTCTAATAAACATGTTTAAGACTCTCTGGTCATGTATTATTACCAAACTCTCTTCACCAAAGCCTCTTTTACAGCTCTGTACTTCAGTGCCCCTCCTTTCACTCTCAAACCTTTACATTATGCCCTCACTTTCAACTCCCAATTTGTGATAAATTCCTATAAATCTTGAACCTCTTTTCTGAACCTGTCCTCTCTGGGAAACCAGGTCATACCTAGAAGATACTACTTCTCTCACAGTCCTGCCATTAGAGGGCATCTCTCTCTTGTAGCCCAGGTACCACAGGGCTAGTAGCTATCCTTGCCAATCATTCCTATTTCAAGACCATTACTTTCTGTTTGTTTTATAAAAGCCCCTGCTCACAACCCTAATAAACTATCTTCCTCTCTGCTGCTGTCATCCACTGACCTGGATTTTCCATCATTCACTGAAAAGTCAGTTACTATCTGACTCCACTCCCAACTTCTGTCAACATTCTCAACATCTTCAACATCCAAGGGAAGGGCATATCCAACATCCTCATTTCCTCACCTCTCTAGGAAACTCCACCTTATCCAGCCACCTTCATAGTCACACCCTACATCTCTATCCCCCCACCCAAAACTGCCCCACCTAAAACATTCTGAAAGCCAGCACTCACTTTCCATCACAAACCTAGTTTGCTTCTAGTTTACTTGGAGTGTAACAAGTTGCTGTGTTGACCTTATCATCATTGCTTGTTTCTCTGCCCTCTTCTGTCATTTCCCTTCATGTTCCACGACTATAATCACTCCCTTGTACTCCTCTGTCTCGGATGTATTCAGCTGGATAAAGTCTAACCTCAAGTGATCTTGACTATTTAATTCTCCACGTATGACTCTGAGAAACTAACTATGGTAGAAGAAACAAGAAGATACACTGGTTGAACTTTTAATTTCTGACCTTAACCTCAAACAGGCTATTAATATTGCCACTTTTTTCTAGTAAATTCGTTTCCTACTCCAAAATAATCATGAGACATGTTATCTCTCAAACCTCTAACTTACCTCTTCTCTCAAGAGTTGCCTATGACTTCACTGAAAAATAAAGGAAACCATTGAAGGGGAGCTCCATCTGCCCACTACCAAATCTATAAACCCATCTGCACTTGGACCCATCCATCAACTCCATCTTCTCTCTTGCTGTAACTGAGGGAGGGCACATGCCCCTTTCTTATCAAAATCCAAGACCTCAATACATGCTTTGGAGCCATCTCCCTCATCTTCTCAAGAATTTCACTTCTTTATTCCCCTTCTCTCTTGCATCATCAATTTCTTCCTATGTACTAGATCATTCTTAGTAGTATAAATAGGCTCTAGTTATTTCCCACCTAGAGAGACACACAAAAGACTTCCCTTCATGTTTTTCCATCACAGTTAAAAGTTCTCCAAAAGATCATCTACACCAGAGGTTCCCAAAGTATAGTTCCAGACCAGCAGCATCAGTATCACCTGGGAATTTATAAGAAATGCAAATTCTCAGGTACCAACCCAGAGCTACTGAATCAGAAACTATGAGGTAGGTCTATTAATCTGTATTTTACCAAGTAATCCTAACACACACTGAAGTTTGAGAACCACTAATCTATACCCCTACTACTCAAAGTTTGCTCCATAGACCAGCATTACCTCGAAGATCATTTAAGAAATGCAAGATCTTGGGCCCTTTTGACCAGATCTCCAGGTGATTTATATACTTTTTTTTTTTTTTTTTTTTTTGGAGACAGTCTCATTGCATCATCCTCAGTAGAGTGCCATGGCGTCACAGCTCACAGTAACCTTGAACTCTTGGGCTTAAGTGATTCTCTTGCCTCAGCCTCCCAAGTAGCTGGGACTACAGGCACCCACCACAATGCTTGGCTATTTTTTGGTTGCAGTTGTTTAGATGGCCCGGGCTGGGTTTGAACTAGCTACCCTCGGTGTATGTGGCTAGCGCAGTAACCACTGTGCTACGGGTGCTGAGCCAATTTATATACTCCTTGAGAAGTTTGAGAAACACAGATCTACACACAACTAACTCATTTCCTCAACTCCCACTCTATCCTCAACCCATTCCACTGAAACAATTCTTCCCAAGGTCATTTATGACCACTCTTACAAAATCCACAGCCCCTTTTTTAGATTAGTGATTGATGTGGTTATTATTTCCCCTTTCTCTAGACACTCTCCATCCTGAAGTCTGTATCAACACTTCTATTGGTTTTCTATGGCAACTCCATCTGTCTCCATTGTATGTGCTTTCTCTACTTAAGTTCTATATGTTGGAGTTCTTCAGCACATGGTACTGAGCCCTCCTCCTCCATTCTCCTTTTCTCTTTTTTGAGGGGACAGAGTCTCACTATGTTGCCCTTGGTAGAGTGCTGTGGCAGTCACAGCTCACAGCAACCTCCCACTCTTGGGTTCAAGCAATTCTCTTGCCTCAGCCTCTCAAGTAGCTGGGACTACAGGCACCCACCACAACACCCAGCTATTTTTTGTTGCAGTGTCATTGTTGTTTAGCTGGCCTGGGCTGGATTTGAACCCACCACCCTTGGTCTATGTGGCTGAAGATGTAACCACTGTGCTATGGGTGCTGAGCCACATGCTCCTTTGAAATAATCTCAACTATACCATACCTATGACTTTAATTAAATGCCATTCATACACTGAAAACTCCAATGTATGTCTCTTACCCAAATCTCTTCTCTGAGCCCTGTGTGACATTCCATAAGAAAGATATAAAAGCACCTTAAAGTTAGCAAGTTCAAAAGACCTAGAACTATTCCTCTCCTTGTCTCTCTTATCTCAATAAATAGACAACTGCTCAAGCCAGATACTTGATTTTCATCCGGGATTTCTCCCTTTCCTCCAGTCCTCAGGCCCCTAACCAAATCTACCAGCCAATCCATGGTCTTTGCCTCCAAAATACATCTCAAATTTAATTTCTCTTCATTTCATTGCTATCATATTAGTCCATGTCATCCTTATCACCAACCTGCCTTCTTATACTGGTATCCTTGCCTCCTATTTTGCCCCCTTCTAAATACTCTCCGCAAACATCCAAAATAGTCTTTTAGAAATACACTCCCCTGCTTCAAGTCCTTCAAGAAATTTCCTTGGTAAATAGAATAAAATGCAATTTTTTAATCATGGCCTACAAGGCCCAAGTGATCTGACCACCACTGATCATTTCCACCTGCTCCTACTATGCTCTAAACCAGGGGTCCTCAAACTTTTTAAACAGGGGGCCAGTTCTGTCTCTCAGATCGTTGGAGGGCTGGACTGCGTGCCCCAGGACGAGTGAGCTGCTAAGCAGGATAGGCAGCGGCGGCAAAAACACCTGGGGGGCCAGATAAATGTCCTAGGTGGGCCCGTGGGCCGTAGTTTGAGGACACCTGCCATAATGCTCCTTTCAGTTCCCTCAGCTACTCAGGCTGTTTCTGGTTCCTAGGATTCACTTCTTCTTCGAAGTCCACACCCCGCCCCCCCCAAATCCTTATCCTTCAAGTATTATTTA